GGAGAGGGAGAAGTCCAAATGCGTGTTACTAATTTGACTGCATTTGTTTTTATAAAATGTTGGTGAAACTTGTTAGTTCAGTCAATTCTTTTCCTCCCTTCCCATGTCATGGAAACACAACTTGACAAATTAAACCACAGTTTAGAAGTGGGTGGAACCTACATCCGGGAGGCTGGGCATCTTTCTTATAATGACCACTTTGGGAAAACCAATTTATTGTTGGATCTGTGAATCAGAGCAATTCCATCCTCTCTGTCAAGGTCAACGCAATTAGTTTTTATCTACAGGAGGAGATGGCTTCATTTGAATGTTTTCCCTCTGACTTCACTATTCTTGCCACTTTTTCACTGAACATTTAATTTGGATCTGTGGGGTGGGGATGAGGGGATACTGTTCAGGTCCACGCCAGTCAGACTACATTAGACTGAGAGCCAAGGTGCCACTCTCAGCTCTGCTTCCTACACTGAAGATCACGTTAAAGGACTTGGCCAACCTGGATAGCCTCTACCTTTCCCCTATTTTTCCTCCCCTTGGCCCCTTTAAAAAATAATGTTTAGCTATTTTTCTGATTTTAAAATTATTCATGATAAAAATTGGAAATTATAGAATAGAAAGATAAAAATTATTCAACCATCCTCCTACAACTCAGAAGTGACAAAGGTTAACTGTGAGTGTATATTTCCTTTCAATCTTTTTTAGCTGGGATACACACACACACACACACACACACACACCTATGATGTTGTATCCTTCTTATTCTGAAATACAGATTCGTAGTGTCTTGACTTTTTCATATCATATCACGAATATTTCCCCTTTCATTAAAAATTCTTAAAAATAACATTTTCTGAGGTTGCAACTTACGGAGTTAGCATTATTTTGAAAAAAGTGTGTCATTAGATATTTCTAATTTATGTTATAAAAATAATTTTAGCCCATAAAAATTAATAGACATCAATGATCATCTCCTTAGGATAAATTATTTGAAGTTGGGTAAAAAGGATAGTTATTTTTAAGGCTACTGAAATGCACCATCAAACTGCTACACAGAAAGGGTATATGGATACAGTCCTGCCAGAAATGTATTCCAATACCAAGCTTTTCCTTACCTTTGACAGCAATACCAAGCTTTTTCTTACCTTTGGCGGCATAAAGCGTTACTTTGTTTAAAAATATTTTGCTAATTCACTGGTCACTTTGCAGTGAGAAGCTGATCATATTTGTTGGGAAATACTTTTTATAAAGGATTCTAGAATAATTACATAAACTGCAAGAGAAAGTCATACAATTTCAACTTAATTAGAATAGTTAGCTAAAACAGTTGTCATTTTCTAATGATTTTTGGTGGCTATTAGGCTAGACAAAAGGACTGTTAAGCTCTTTACAATAACATTTCTAATACATCTGATTACTGCCTTACTTTAATTTTTTCAAAGGAAACCTCCCCATTTAAAGGATCTTTAAGTAGTATGTTTTTTCCTCTTATAAAAAACATTCATCCAGATACTCAAAAAAAGTAAGTTGCCTTTCTTAAGATACATAGACTCCTCCCCACCCCAACTCTTCTATATGAAGTTAGGACAGACTTCTCTTTCTCTTAGAAATTGCCTAACATATGGGCGCCTAGGTGGCTCAGTTGGTTAAGCGACTGCTTTCGGCTCAGGTCATGATCCTGGAGTCCCGGGATCGAGTCCCACATCGGGCTCTCTGCTTGGCAGGGAGCCTGCTTCTCCCTCTGACCCTCCCCCCTCTCATGTGCTCTCTCTCTCTCATTCTCTCTGTCTCAAATAAATAAATAAAATCTTTAAAAAAAAAAAAGAAATTGCCTAACGTATGTACTTTAATTTCCTAGAACTAAGCTGAAGAGCGGTAATAAAGTTAATTAAACAAGAGGCAAATGAATAGTTAAGAACCAGCATTTATGGAAACAATTTTAGGCAAATCTGTGATTTAACAAAGTTAATCTTTGGTCTTTACTTACCAAAAAAAAAATTATTGAAAACCTACTATGTGCCAGGCATTTTGCAATATGCTGTTGATAAAAAGTGAAAAGATACAGTCCCTGCTCTCCAAAGGATCACACAGTAATGGGAGTAACGGACTTAGATAATTACAGGGCTAGGTGAGCTCCTATCAAAGACGCAGGCTCAGTGGCGGGCTGGGAGAGGAGGTAGCTAGCTGTCTGGGTTGGTGAAGAGGTAATGTGTAAGCAGTGTTCTGGAGGATGAGTAGGATCGTCAGCCTTAGGGGTGGGAGGATGGCAATGGGGTACCCTAGGCAGAAGGAGCAGCACATGAACAGGAACCAGGGAGAAGCATCGCACAGTTTAAAACACCAGGGATGCTCTGAAAGAATTTAAACAGGGAAATGACTTGATCATAGTTTGGCTCTGGAAAGATCTGCAAAATGGTCAGTGGAAGATATTTTTGTGCGCCTGGGGTGCTGGAACCACGTTGCAAGATAAGATGTAGGGGGACCACTTATAGGGCAAGATATTTCACTGGCCTACACCTGGGGCTCCCAAACTTCAGAGTGCATCAGAATCACCTGGATGACCAGTCATGAAACACAGATCATCAGGCTCCATTCCCAGGTTTAGTAGGTATGGGACGAGGACTAAGAATGTACATTTCTAACAAGTTCTCAGATAGCATAAGGTGACTTCTAGGATCTGGATTTAAGCAACTGGGCAGATCCTGGTGCCATAAAACAAAAGAGGGAAAGCATGAAGCAAGTGCTTCCATACCCAGCAACCTCCCTTCCTTCTTGATGCTGTTCCTCTCATTCTCCAAGATTTGCGTGTTACCTGCTGGCAATCTCCCCACCCTTCCCTGTGAGCACCATCTCTCTTAACTTATGATAGACTCCAATGGACTAATGTGTCATTGATTATGAAAATGGGAGTTTGATGCTCCTCTAGGGTGAGACATTTCTACTTTAATCATCTTCCTGAAACCACACCTCAGCTCGATGCATGACTCTAGTAGGAATTTCAGGTACTACCACAGGCAATCTGCAAGATTTGTTCCTGGATAGTTGGGGGGGGGGTCTTTTGATATTCCTCAGTGAACCAAGTCTTGCCCCGACGATGCAGAGAGACAGGTCTCCATACATGATAGATGCCAATTACAATTTCTCTTCTTTGGACTCTGCCCCAGATTCTTTCCTTATCTTTGCCAAGAAAGAACAACAGTGACTTTTAAAGATATTGCCAGTTAACTGTAATCTAATAACCTTCTGCTTAAATTACTTGCTCTAATTATATGATCAGACAGTGATCATAAAATCTTCTCTGAGTCAAATTACGTAAATGTGTGTATAGACATATGCACTCTCACACTCCTTCGGAAAAGTGACTTTACCCCATTTTATAGCAGGGTCTTCATCTGTACAATTAGGATTATAAACTACCTTACAGGGTGTTGGGTGGATTAAATGAAATAATGTTCATAAAGTGTCTAGTCCACTGTCCTATATAATAAAGATTTTCTTCTCTCCTTTATTTTCTCCTTGATGGTTTGTTACCTAGCCACTCTGGTGGGAAGTGACCAAACTCTGGACATCTTTGAAAGGCACCACTGTTTGGAATGAGTGAACTCACAGACAGTGGTGACATCATATTGACCAGGGATTACCTAGTGAGCTCACCGCAGACTTCCACAGGTCATTCTGCAGATACCATCAGTAGATGCTGAAGACTATTTTTCCGTTTAAGATTTTATTTATTTGAGAGAGAGGGAGAGAGAGAGAGTGCGCTCACAAGCATGCACAAGCAGGGGGGGAGCAGTAGAGGGAGAGGGAGAAGCAGACTCTGTGCTGAGTAGGGAGCCCAACGGGGTGGGGCCTGGGGGGCCTGGATCCCAGGACCCCCAGATCATGACCTAAGCAGAAGCTCAACTGACTGAGCCACCCAGGCAGCCCTGAAGACTATTTTAATGTTAAGAGTTGCTTCTTTTAAATTGGATTCTCTTAGGCTTCCCACTCTACCACTTCCCTCATTCCCACTCCAATCACAGAAGTTCTTGCATATTCAATTTTAGTGTGGTCATTTGCTTAAGACTTGATGTAATCCAACCCTTTTCTACAACAGGAAGAAACAGAATTGAGGATAACCACAAGAGTCGAGAGGATGTTGTATTCTGGCCTTCACTTTCTCAGATGTCAATTCTGTATGTTTTAAATGGTATCTCAGCTTGTTTTAATACCAGCCATGTTCACACTTCGGGAGTTTTATCCTGGCTCCCATGAACATCTGGTCAGTAGATATTTGTAAGATCTCATTTGAACACTGTAACAGTTATTTATTGAGTATTTACTGTGTAGGAACTCCGTAAAATCTATTTCCTACCTATTCTCATATACATATTCATTCCCATTCTATAATCGTTATCCACATCACCTCAGATGTTTTTATAAAACTTCTAGGAGGAGAGATATAGAACATGCCTTAATTATTTCTTATCATGAACACTAATAAAACTACTTGTTTTCCAACCTTGGAAAGGCACTGTTTTCCAGACTCTGATGAATTACATTCCCATACTTTGTGTAGAGTTCCCTGCATAACAAAATTATACTGGATGGGAAATCTTTGCCAGGAAATTTGATTATTTCTAAGTTCATTTTATTGGTGTCCCCTGCTGTGCCCCCACACCCTTGCCAGACTCAGTTAAAGGGTATATGACAGTATTCAGTCAACATTAAAATGAATGTCCAGAGGGAATCTCAGATAAATATTGTACAGGGGAAAAAAATTCAAGTTGAAATCATTTGTAGGACAATTGAATAAATCCTGCTTCACTTCAAGGATGAGAAACTGGACTTGGCACTATAATCAGGCTCAATGTCTGCACTTCCTGGAAAATCCCTAAAGAAACCCTTGCTTTTTAAAGTTGATGCTTCCATAGCTTAGTTTATTCTATCAAGCCTCTTCATCTGTAGTAAGTTTAGTAGATTGTACCTATAAGTGAGGGCTCGGTTCAGCACGCTCTTGTACTCACCTATGAATCTTATGATCCTTCGGAGTAAGGGGTTCAGGTAACAGCATTCTCCGGTCAGAATGGTTTTCTCCTGGGCAATCAGAGATTCTCTGGTTGACTTTATGAAATACATGGATATCTCACCAATAAAAATCTGGGGAAGGAATGTTTAAGAAATGTCAAGTTGGAGAGAACGGTCTGATAAAAGAGACCAGGGACTTTAAAAAACCAAAAGTAAAACCCAAACTTTTGAGGCTTCCAGATCCTTTTAAAAGATGTCATGCTGCAGAGATAGAGGTTTAAATAGTAGTTTGTATTTAATTCTTCAAAAGAATTAGAGATGGCAATAATTGATCGTTTCGGCGAGGTTTTAGGCAATCCTATTAAATTCTAAGTTCATATAAAAACATGAGTTGCAATAATAAATTGTAATAGGATCTATGATAAAGCTCACTTATGCTGGAACTAAATTCTTTTAACTGAATGTGTGAGCTGCAATGATGAGAAATGACTGGGACAGTCATGTGCCCAACAAGGCATTATAAGCTCACATCATGATGAATTATTACTCCATTATATGGCAATACATTATTTACCCGATAAATCTTTATTTGAACATGTTGGCTCGAGCTATACTTCTCATACTGTGAACTGGCTGACTGTCCCTTCTTTATAATTGGCACCTCTCTCGTTATCTTGAACTAATATGTATATATTATCATATAAATCATAATGCCTTTGTGTAGACTGTAAGCTTCCTGAAGACAGGGACCATGTCTTCTGTTTCTTGATTATGCTTCTAGCACTCAGCACGGTGTATTCTATTTAAAATAAGGAACTGGTGGGAGGTAAGTTGTCACCAATTCTGCCACAGGTGAATACTGAGAACCATCAATGAAGAATAAAGTTACTAATTACCATCATCTATTGATACCTAGGTGTCTGGTACTTCATCATAGTATTATTCATGCTCAGAAGGTCCCTAGTTTAGGTATTGTTACCCCTGTTGTACCGGTGAAGAAAGAAAGTTCAGTACCCGCCAGAGCATACAGCTGGCATGTGGAGGCCCTGGCACTGGTCTTCAGGACAACTGAGTTCCAAATTTCACACTTCCCACCACATCGTACGCCATCTTTATTTTCCTCATCCCAACTTCAGCATTTCCCCGGAAGAACGTGACCTTATAGATGTTCTTCTTTGTCAGGTACACGCTTATGGTGTTAGATAAACTTTATCACTGTGTAAGAGTTCCCTTTCCTCACATTCCTCCTGTCATTACGGAATATCTATTTTAGATGGATAAAGAGGACAACATCATGAATGGCACATGGGTGTGGAAATTAAACTGTAGAACTGCAAAACTGGCATCGTTTACAGGTATTTTCCACTTTACGAGCAAGGAAACTGAAGGTCGCAGGGACTTGGCCTCACATAGTCGGACAGCAGCGGAGGCAGCACTAGAATGTGCTATTATGCATCACCCTGTGTGCATGTGTTACCCTGACTGCACAAATACAACATCTGCGGCACAGAGGGATGAAATAATTTGTCCAAGGTCAGAGCTAGTAAGGCACAAACCCCAGCTCTGGAGCCAAGAAGACCTGCCTCCAGAGCCTTCATTTTAATGACTTAGACTTTTACTTGGTAGTGACTCAATAAAAATAATTGTTGAATTTGTGTTTAATATTGAGAACATAGAAGACAAAACAAGTTAAGTGTAATGTGTTGTAAGTACTGAAAAACTCAGGTGCTGTTAAAGTACAGGACAGAATGGTGTCGTGGAAATAGAACTGGAGGCAAGTCAGAATGGGATGGGACATTGGCGGGAGGAGATAGGACTCAGGGTCCGACAGGCACACAATGGCGTGTATCACGTTGGCAGGTACTAAGTGTGGTTGTTCAGACTTAGCAATATTTTGTGCCTAATGTCCCATTAACAATGAGTTGATGCTCTGCCATGGACAAATATTTGAATAGCTTTAAGAACTCAGCCCTCCCTCTTTTCTAGTAACACCTATCTCTGCTAAAATAAGGTGCCAAGGGGTTTTGTTTGTCCTGACTGTACATGATGGAACTGCATTGCTCTTCTTTATCTTAATGAACAGATGGGGATAAATTCATGCATGCTTGGATATGTGAAATAGTATTTCCTTGAGGGAGCTTTCTCGGATTCCACAGACTAGCTCAGACATTCTTGTTATACACGGATTTCTTACCTTGTGTTTCTCTTTTCTATTTCTTATCAGAAACTGTTACATGTTATTATTGTTGTTCTTTGTCATGGGATGTCCTGCCTGTCTTATTCTTGGTTATACTCCCCCAGGGCTTAGCCAAGTATAAGGTACAAAGTAGTTATTCAATGCCTGCATGAATTAAGCATATCAGATTAATGAAGGTCTTTTGGAATACAGGTTTAATGAGGTAGATTATAAAGAACACAAAACGATTTCCCTCATGTATCCTCCCAGAGCCAGTGAAAATGTCACTACCCTTCCCAAAGCCTTTACCAGATTCCCTCAGGAAAAGAGGGTCCCTGTCTTGTCATTGCCCCACCATACAGTATACAGATCTCTATCCTGACATCTACCCAATTAACTGCAATTATTGTTTGTATGTCCCTCTCCAGTTGACTATGATGTCCTTATGGGAAGGACTTTTGCCATTCCTTGTATGGTGCTTAGAAGAGGGACTGCTATATAGTAAGCTCAATCAATATTTGTTGAATGAATAAAAGATTGAATCTTTAGAGGACCTACTTATAGATAGAATCCTCTGACCTTAATTTCTCTGAAGATGAACAATACAGAAAATTGACAATACGGACCAGAAAGCACACAATTCTTGGTGTATTGCTTAAGATTAAATAAAAACCAAGGGCTAAGTAATACAAAGTGAATGATCTCTTCTAACCTAAATTCACTCATACACTCATTTTGCATTCAACAATTCTGGAGAGGGAGCACCCACTCTGCCAAAGGCAGAGTCACGAACAGATGTCTAGTATGTGTGTGTGTGTAGGGAGGGCACAAAAAACTAATAAATACACCATGTAATGTCATGAAATGACATATGATTACAAAGTAAATCAGGAAAATGGGACGGAGGGTGATAACCACATAAGGATAAATGTGAAAAGAAATAAGCATTGCTTGCCTTAGCCATTTCAGAAGCCCAAAACATTCTTACTCCACAGGAAAGAGATGTGCACATTCTAGAAATTCTCCATTTAGTGAAGCTTTCCACTACTCACACATGAGGGCAAAGAAAGCAAGAAAATGTGTGAGAGAATCTATACACAACCTATTCTTGTTAAAGATACACATGTGCATACACATATACCCACATAAAAATCTCAACAAAATAGCTCCAAGTCATACCAAACCAAACCAAGCTTGTCATGCAAAAGGGTATGGGGCTCAAATAAAATGTCTATAAGTCAATCCTAAGACCCCATGTCAAAGGTAATAAGCAGTACAGGAATTGTTACCATTGGCCAACAATATTCAAATTCCAATTAAGGTATGAAGCATAAAAGAAAAAAAACAGAGCAAGGACATATACTAACTTATATATCTGGTTACTGACATAATGCTGGGAATACATTAAGTGATAATAAATGTTTACATAAGGAAGGAAGGAAGAAAGAGAGGGAGGAAGGGGTCATTTTATAACTAAAAGGTAGGAAAATATTCCTGGTCCAGTGCTCAGACTCCAATGAGTAGGCTTCATGGATGTTCATTTTTCTGTATTTTACTGACCATACCTAGGGTGTTATTTGTCCATTTACTGGGTCCTATAGTCTCATTTAGGGCCTGATTATGCTTGGAGAGAGAGAGAGAGAATTCTGCCTGATAAGGGAAGGGGTCTCTCTTCTTTCCTGCTAGGCCTCCAGCCCACATTGAATGTCATTTTGTACATGGTGGCAGGTTTATGACTCTGGTTTTGGCAAGGGCTGGGTTCCTCCATCTGTGTCTCTGCCACACACACTCTGCCTCTATCTACCCCTCTGTTCAGAGAGCAACTGGGACATGTGGGACTCTCCAGGTGTTTGGCCCTGGCTGCCTTATTATGGCCTTTCTGATTGCTGGCTAACAAACATCACACATCACTCACAGCAAATGAGAATACCCTCTGGTGAGAAATGACCAAGGCCAAGCTCTAGATCTGGCAATGAATGAACCGCAAATGAATTCCATTGGTGCATTTCTTATCCCCCAGCTATGCTAGCTACAACCCATGTGACATAAGACATTTAGATAATAGTAAATATAGTTTAAGTAATGAGGATAACTGTTCTATCTTGATAAAGTTGTATTTCAGATATGTAAACCCAAATGGCAAAGTAGTAAATAATCCTGGAATGTGGTGCATCAGTTCAGTATGTTTTACTTTATTTATTTTTAACATTTTATTTATTTATTTGAGAGAAAGTGAGAGCTAGAGAATGAGACAGAGCATGAGCAGGGGGGACGGGCAGGGGGAGAAGCAGGCTTCCTGCTGAGCAGGGAGCCCAACATGGGGCTCGATCCCAGGACCCTGGGATCATGACCTGAGCTGAAGGCAGATGCTTAACCAACTGAGCCATCCAGGCGCCCCTCAGTGTGTTATCTTTTAGACTTCAGTTCTTCATAGTGCTTCACAGGAGATCTGGTAAGTGATAAATAAGTGATATAAATGCAAAATATCTAGGGGACAGTTTTTAGATTTAAAAATAAAAAGTTTGCAGGAAAAAATAGTCACTGGAAGATGTATTACAATCTCATATTGTAAGGGGGATTCATTGCATGTTATATGTGGTTGTCACTAAAGAGGGCATCTAGAACCCCTGCAATATCTGTTTTGGGTTCACACATACACTGGTCGTGGCTCTGGTTCTTGGCAAGATCAAAGTCATTGCTGTTTCTTGATTGTGGGCTGTAGAGTTGAAATCCCAGCTCTCTCCTCTCTTGATGTGTGAATTTGGGCAAGTAATTGAACCTTTCAGAGCCCCAGTTTTTCATTTTTTTCCATGACTTTGAACATGAGGGTAATAGCTATATCAGAAAATAGTTGAGAGTATTAAAAATATATGTCAAAGCATCTGTAGGTGCTCAAGGAATGTTTGCTGTCTTTACTTCCTGGTCTATCTAGGCAGGAATGTCTGTTGAGAATGAT